TGTGGCTATATAAACCGTTAGCCTTTTGGTAGTGATCTCAGAACCGACAAAATCAACCGGTCTACATACTTGGTTTAGTTTTAAACGGGGCAAATTTCAGGTTGACGTACAATATATATAATGTCTCCGGTGATATAGTACAAATCTTGATTCCGGTTCCAGCTCCACAATGCATGCGTCTCATTCTTCACCTTAAAAAATCCAAAAGTTAAAAAACAAAAAAATATCGGTTTTTTTGTAATTTACAACAATTATCATCTGGTTTATATTGGTTCAATCTGAGGGGAAAAAAAAAAAACAGAACCGATTTTGAGTTTCATGTGTAAAACACCACAAATTTGGATTTGGTAGTCAATAGATTCTCAAGCAGGCTTATTCACCAAGGTATTAATCTCAGTAGGTTACTTGAACATCAAGCGAAATATATTATAGAGAGAACTTACCTCTAGCAAACCGAAACCGAAGCTGCTTTCTCTGTACGCGCTATAATCCGGCTGCTTAACCGGGCAAAACTGCTCGTTTACAGGTCCTAACGTGAAGTTAAAGCCACAGGATCCAACCGAGTATCTCTGAGAAGGAGCTGGACAGTTCCCAGGGTCATCTACATGCTCAGTCTCTAGCTTCCCAGCTCCTCCTGCACCGGTTGTTATATAAATCGGACCACATTGGTCTAACTTGTAGTTGTAGACTCTGTTTGACCTTTCATAGGCATCAACCTAACTCAAGTTTTGAGTGGAAATTAGTGAAAATAACATATCACCATGAAGGAAATGAACACACTTACAGAACAATACCTTACCTGACCATTGAAAATAATATCGACACGGTATGTATATAGCAAGTCTTCAAGTTGTATCCTCATGGATGCAGCTTCTCTGTAATGCCCTTTAAATGTGCTGTACCAAGGAAGACTCCAAGTAGCAACCACCCATGGAGTTTCTGATCTGTTTATCTTTCTCAGGTCACTTTCAAGCCAAGTATACTGATCAGCTGCCAAAGAAAAAGGTTACATTCGCGTAATCAGAAACCCATTTCAATGCAATTCGAACCCGAAGATAGAAAACCAAAAACCCGGAGAAACTTTACATGAGTTATCATAAGGTGTGTATGCATTAAGCACTATGAAATGAGCTCCTCCCGCGTTGAACGAATAGTACAATGGCGAAAAAGAACCGCTTTCGTTTGAAGGAAATGCGAATCTTGAACTGTATGCAACGAATGTCAGATTACCATCGCTCTGCGGCTCAATCTCGTGCTCTCCTGCTACCATCATCGTTGGAACATTAGCCGTGAGTGGCTCCATGAACCTGTCATCAAAACCCCTTATTGTTTTAAAACCACCAATAAACTCACAATAAGTAAAGAAGAATCTTCTTTTACCTTCCCCAATAATCCCACCGAGGCTGATAAGTTTCTCGACTACAACAAGAACCACAATCAAAACTAGTTCCATTTTGATCACATTGACAAGAACCGCAATCTAATTTAGTCTTATTCGCGAGATAAGTATCTGCGTAGCTAAATCCTCCGATTAAAACCACAAGATCAGGATGGTTAGAGAGAATATGAGTCATAACTGTTGATGTGTTGTAAGTAAGACCCAAATCTCCAGCCACAACTATTCTACGCGGGTAACTCTCATATTCAGACTTAGGCATTGTCCTGAAGTAATAATACTCTTTGCTCATTGCTGATAAAGATGGATCTCCGCATCGGTATTGATACAATGTGTTTGGTTTAAGACCTGTGAGTTGCACATGATGGATGATCCCTGAAGTATAGTTCTTCTTGAGACCATTTTCAGGAGGATACTGTCGGTTATACACAATAGAATTGCCTGTTGCATTTTTTTTCCTAGTACGAACATCGAATTCGCGGTATTGGACTATACTTTGCACGGAATCAGGATCCAGAGGCACAGAATCTTCTTCACCAATTTGGAATTCCCCTAGAGTAACACAACACAACAACCTTGCTTCAGACAAATGAATAGAAACTCCAAGAAAAGTAATAAAGGATGAATCTTTAAGACAAAAATCTTGATGTTGGAACAAAAGTTCACAGCTTTTGTCCTAAATTTATGAATGTAACTGTTGAAGTATCTTAAATCCATCTCTTGACTCAACAAGATTAAAGTGTATGTACAATATAAACTTTAAAGCTTATTAATAATGTTTTTAATTTAAAGTACAAGCAGATGCTTATAAACAAAATTAATCACATTTAAGTAACGCAAGAAGTCAAATTTTGAGGATTTTAATAATCAAAGAGAAGTTGAAGAGTTAGAGAGAGAGACCTGTGACCCAAGAAATCCAGACAGAGTCGAAACTGTAAGAGAGAGAGACAGAGATCTGTTCGGGTTGAAACTCCGAGTTGGGTATTACGAAACTCGGGTCGGATTCTGGTAAGTCGAATACAATCGGGTTAAGATTGGGGTCAAGTGGAGCAGTCTCGGGGTTAAACGGACCATCGAGCGTCGTGGAGAAACCAGAAACGATGATGATAACAGTAGAAGCTAAAATGACGAAAAAGGACATGGTTATTGTACATTTTACCATCATCTTTACATAAAATGTTTAGATGTTGCAGCGAAGAAGACAAACTCTTTACCATAAAAATCAGAATCTGTTTTTTTTTTTTTGTCAATAAATTTCCTTTATCTTTCGGGTTTACAATGTAAACCGGTAGATGCTTTATCGGTTATCGGTTATCGGTTTAATTTCTTTTGATCTTCATGCAAAATAGTTTAATATTGCAAATTTAAAATTAACTGGACAAGGTTCAAATTAAGATGCAACAACAAAAAAGGTCGAAATTAAAATACTCTAATTAGTTAAATAAATATTTTTTTAAGCCTAAAATTCCCAATTTTTTGCTCCGGAATCGAATCGGAAGAAAATTCCGGCGAGATCAATCGGTTAAAGGACCACCACCGCCTTGTTCCATGACCATATCGATGAGATCGTTATCTTCCATCATAAGCTGTGGAAATAAATTAATGTAAATGAATTACTAAAACACTAGGTGCTAAATGGGCCTATAATGGGCCGGGGGATTGGGCCAAAAACCTGAGCAGGAGTCTGACGTGGTTTGAGAGGCTTTTGGTCATAGAAGAATCTGACAGTTCTGGGATCTAAGTTTCTCTTGTTGCAGTAAGCCTCAAATAGTCTCTTCAGAGATGAATTAGCACCAATTTTGAACGTATCTTCACCTCCGTCCTGTTAAAAACACACACACAAAAAGGTGCAATTTCATTTTTTTATATACATGTACTTTTAATCAAAATTTGTCACATTTTACTTGAAAATACAAAAAATAAATGAAAAAGGTAGGTACTTTAGCAGAAAAGCAAAGATGAGATTTCTCTGTTTTTTTGTCACAGATCAACAAGTCGGATAAAACAAAGAAAAGAAGACATCTTTTGCTTACTATGATCAACCTAACAAAGACACAACACTATGGGAGTAGCCATGT